ACATAATAGTAAGAAGCTCATGGTTGCTTAGATATCACAGTTATAAAATACTTTCATACGTCATATTTCGAATGCCTCAGTGAATTATTGTTCTGCCTCCCTGACTGCCCATAATTGATAGGATTCAGAGATTACATGATGACCCTGATAAGTGTCACATTATGACAGCTTACAGCAGTTTAGGAAACCACGATTTTGTCATGTTTGGGTACGTCTTCTTCCATACAAGTAATGCCTGTTCCTGGATGTTTGAGTATCTCAATCTTAAAATCGAGGTCTTCGTGTAGAATAAAATCAAAAAGGGAATTAGTGCAATTTTCCCCTGCAGATACCAACTAAACAGCAGATAATTCACTAAATGATTCGTACACAACTTTTCCGAATTTTCACAGCATATTCAAAAAATACCCTTGCATGCATGAGCTTATTGGACATACTAAAAGTTCATGGCGTAATAAACGTAATCTCCCAGAGCCAATGTTTGCACCTTGTGTATCTGCCAAGACAATAAAAACGATTTCTGTTCAGAAAATGACGCCTTAAAAGTTTGTGTGAGGTGGATATGGCTGATTTCATATGGAAGTTGAGAAGGATGTCATTTTTTTACTCACTGCTATCGTTACGGATCGTCGACTGTTCTTCAACCAGGAGTCATCCTCCACTAAAAAGGGTCAAGGACACTGGAAAGAAAATCATTTTGCACTGCTTCCTTTCGGGATAGACATAAATCAGTCCTCAAATCATAAATTTATGATCAGAGTGTCCTTTGTCCACACAGATTTGCTTCAATCGCGTAAGGAGCTGCGTCAAGATTGGCCACATGACGGTTTCAGGGTCTGTGACCCGTAATTGCGACTGCCATGTAGCTCAAGATAATGCACTGTTCAGCGCCTTTATAGATGTTGTGTTAGCATGCCTTCTGACATAAGATGCAAAAATGCAATTATTAAAACGCAAAGTGAAGGAATAACGACGATGATCAGGCACCGGTAATAAAATGACGTAAGATAAGTCTGACGCACGCACGCAGAAGCAGGACGATGCAAAATATAAGAAGTAGCTACCTTCGCCTTTCCGTCCCCATGAAGGGTTGCAGTTGTGCACTAAAAATGAGCCAAAATACAAAAATACCACGTGCAAACGTTTCCTTCGTACCTGCAGACGGCCACAGATAGAGAAATATGAAAATTGAGGAAAACGGGTGCATCGAGGAAGGCAAAATGGGAGTGCGAATCGGAGCTGAATGAGGAACGGTGCAACACAGAAATGACCACAAGTCGTCGCTGAGCTTATTAAACAGATGGTGCTTAAGGGAGAACCGTGTCGCGTTTTGCTTGACCTCGCCGACTACAGTTCGCCGCCGATGTCGATTCGGGTCATCGTCGCGGTAATCATCGTCGGATGATGTCAAAAAACCGCACCTGCTCTTTGAAGCACATTGTTTGCTTTCGTTCGTTGCATTCTTATGTCGTTGAACTTGGCCCGAAGTTCGAATGCCAACGCATTTCACTCTGGCGATCTTCGAGGCAATCGGCCAAAATTCGATTCCAGAAGTTGACCGACGAAAAAGTGCCACCGCTGGCACGAAAAACTTGTTCCTGTAACCTTCGACAGCCTGCCCAGGATAAGTATTTGTCGCAAAGTCGATGCGATATGCGATGAGTAACTTCGGAGATGACCGCCGACCCTCGGTTTAGAAAATAGGAGTTATTGTGGAACATGACATTATATTTCAATATGACATACCAACTGTTAAAAGAGAGACTGTAACAAAGGTTAGACGAAATTTTAATCCAGTCTGTGCTAGAATCACAATATTCTATTATTACTGTCCATATTGCCATAGAAAGTGGTAATTCGTCCATGCCGCTAAGGATTGAAACCGATTTGCGTCAGTCTAAGCTAGAAACACTAACACTAGATTACTACTAACCATCCACCCATCACTTTTCATAAATATCATCCTGTCATCCTTGTCATTGGAAGCAGACAATGGACAGTCAAAGAAGGGCACTGATGGAAAGGGTGAAACACGGTGGGCTTGTTTAACCTTTAAACGGTACGGTAGCCCTGAAAGTCCGGCCTGAACCCTGAAACGGTCGGAGAGCGAGATTTTGGTGAGTACGGTATGCGCGGGCTACCTCTCTGTTCTGTCCAACACAGCAACTGGCAAAAAATCGTCACATTTGTAAAACCGTTGGCATCATGGGAAGATCCACAATAATCCAATAAAAATATGCTAAATATGCGTTGTAGTATATTAGGTTAAATTTTGGTTCCTATTTGAAACCTCTGAACAAGTGGCTGCGATTCAGCCACTATTGAAGTGTATGTACAGACGTGAAAGTACATGTTCAACATGTTTCAAGTTTTCTTACAGCCAAAATTGATATTAATGTAAAACCTCATACCAACAAAACGCATGTCTGGGCAGTGTCACATTTAAACTACAACTACCACCCCCCTTGCTGAGAGTCGCCTAGCGATTCCATGGCATTTAAATGCCACCAGTGCATCGTAAGTAATGACGTGTCATCCAATTATGCATAAGAAGGGCGTGTTTGATCACCAC